TGCGTTGAGCCAGAATTTTTCATCGGGCCAGGGCTGGGGCAAGGTACTGAGGTTTCCCGAGGCTACCTCCAGAACAGGTTACTTCAGCCAGTTCTCGGTTCAGGCCTCGGTTTCCCGTTTTGCAAGTGCATCTCCACCTCTTCTTGTCTGGACACTGTTGGGACATCTGAAGGGCAGCAGGAAATATGAGTCTCAGGCTGGGCCCTCTTCTTACTCCCCCGGGTCACCCCATCTGTCTCTGCTTCCATGACTGCCGGATGATGGCCTTGGCAGTGCCATGGAGACCATGGAGACCTGGTCTGTTCATGGAGGGGCAGGGAGATGCAGAGAGAGTTGGGACTGAGCTTTGAAGGGTGTGCTGCTTCTGGGTGCACTTGGGGTGTCGTTCCCACGGGGCCCCTTATGGACTCCCCCCTCCCCCAAGTTAGCATGTTCTCTTCTCAGCAGGGTGTCCGGGGGCTCTGTGTGAAGGAGGGTGGGCTGGGTGCTCCCTTTGCTCCCAGAGATGGGTGCAGAGGAGGTGGTGCTGGGCCAAAGGTAAGGTGGGGAGGAAGGCCTTGTGCCAGCCTGGCCATGCCCCGGTCTGCGTGCACAGGGAGGAGTGGGCACAGCCGTGGGTGGACCAGGCCCTGGACACCAGCTCAATCTGCCCAGCATGGCATCTCCACCTCAGCCTCTCGTTTCCCACCGGAGTTAATGAGCACCCCTGAAAGTCCAAGGTCTAGGCCCTGGGTGGGTGTCTGGGCGGAAGGGGAAGGTCCGGTCGGTGGAGCCGGAGGTGGGGAAAATGCCTTGGGGCCAGGTGTATACACACACACACACACACACACACCCCACCACCACCACCCCCACCCGCACCCCCCACCCTCGCTGGCCCTTGAGCTCCAAGATAGTGCTTTCTCTGCTCCCTGCCGGACCCTCCTCTTGTCAGAGGGCAGTGTCCTCGCCTTCCTCCCTTCCCTCCGGGGGCTCCTGGTAATCACAGGCCCGCTGTGTCCGGGGTGGGTGCCCCTGTTTACGAGGAGATGGACCCCTGCCCTTGCTGGCCACCGCCCCAGCAGGAGGCCACATCTCCCGCTCCCCGGTACAAGTGCAAGTGCCCTCCAGCATCCCCCCAGCCCCTCCCCATGGCTGCACTTCAGAGCATCCAGTGGGGGTACATGGGGGGGGGCTGGCAGCAAGGGTATGGAACTTGGCACCCTGTGCCCACTACAGCAGCATGTGGCGGGCACCACCGGCCTGAGGCCCTCTGTCCACATCACCAAAGAAACAGCACCTCACAGCCTCTCTGTCTTCCTCCACTCCTCCCCCACGCCATCCCGGCCCTGGCCCAGGGTCCTTGGGTTTGATGCTATGCCCGCTTGGGGACCTGGGCCCCACAGCAAAGGACCTGGCTCTCTCTCTGGACTGTTTTGCCAGAGAGCAGCTCCCCAGGAGCCCCTGGGGGTGCAGTCAGCTAATGTGCTCCTTGGCTGACTGCAGGGTTGGAGGGTCAAGCCCACCCAGAGGGACCTGGGAAGAAAGTCCTGGAGCTCGCCTTCTGAAACCCTGTGGGTCCCCTGAGGCCGGCCGGCTCCATGACACTGGACTCTGGGCTTCCTCCCTGGGAAGGGTGGGTGGGGGGTCCTGTAGTCTCGCCAGAGGTGTGGTGGGAAGCCAGGAAGAGGAGACACCTGCACCGGGGAGGGAGATCCTGGGCTGCCCAGAGCTGCCCCCAGTGCCTGTCTGCACAGAGGAGGCAGATGTTAGCCTGAGGGCAGGGCCTCAAAGCCCAGTACTGAGGCCCAGGGGCTCCTGCTTCTCAAAACTGGACTGAAATGTGAAATTGGTGTGCGTCCTGAGTTGGCTCTGATCTCTGCAGGTTCTGTGTCCTCACGTGCAAGCCGTAGGCATAACTGACCTGCCATCGCCCCGCCAGGCCCAGGGTGGCTGCCAGGAGGTGGTGGGCTGATGCTCCTGCACCCTGAGTCCTCATGCTTCCCTTCTGCAGAGGCGGCGGATGCGAGCAGGTCCCCATCCCCGCCCGGCTCACCGTCGCCTCTGTCATGCAGGGCTGAGAATTACTGGTGGCGTGGGCAGAACACACGAACACTGTGTGTGGGGCCCTTCCCTCGCAACGTGGTGACCTCCGTGGCAGGCCTGTCAGCGCAGGACATCAGCCAGCCGCTGCAGAACAGCTTCATCCACACAGGGCATGGGGACAGCGACCCCCGCCACTGCTGGGGCTTCCCAGACAAGATTGACGAGTGAGTGCTGCCTGCGGCCGGGCCCGGGGCTCCCCATTCATGGTCTCATCACCCCGCTTTCTCCCCAGCTGCACTCTGGCCATTCTCCCCTCCTGGCATACTGTCTATCCTTCAGGGGCTGGTGGGCAAGTCTCTGAACTTCTGAGGCGTGGTTTCTTCATCTGCAAGGTGGGCTGTGAGGCTCCAGCTCTCGAGAGGAGACTGGATGGTGCCTTCTTGGTGCCAGCTCCTGAGACGCCCCTCTGCTGGTCTGCCTCTTCCCAAGTCCACCTTCCCAGATCCTGTGGGCCTGGAGTCCCCGGCAGCCTTTCTACAGGCTGGACGGCGAGGTCATCCATTCCAGAAGCTCCTAGCCCCAGTTCTACCAATGTGGGCAGTGAGAGGTCCTCCGCCCTGACTGTGGCACTGAGGGTGCCGTGGGCCGACCTGAGAGCTCCCACGCACTGCTCATCAGCATCTCCACCTCACCCCGCCATCCCCGCTCCTGACCCCTCCTGAGACACCCCCCCCCCCCCGCCCCCCCCCCCCCCCCCCCCCCCCCCCCCCCCCCCCCCCCCCTCCCCCCCCCCCCCCCAGGTCTGCCCCCCACCCCCCACCCCCCCCTCCCCCCCCCGACGGCAGCCTGCCTCCTGTACTATGTTTTATCCACCAGCAGCAGCTTCCATTTCTTCCCCTCTCCCAATGCCTTGGAACCTGGTGAGACAGGGGTCATGTGTGGGGTTGCTAACAGCAAGGTCAACAGTTCGAAACCAGCAGCTGCTCTTCATGAGAGAAACATAAGGCTTTCTCCTCCCTGAAGCCCATGGGGACTGTTCTACCCATAGGGTTGCTGTGAGTCGGCAGCGACTCATTGGCAGTGTGTTTGGAGCCCAGGCCTGGGTGCTACCCTGTGGGGCCCTCACAGTTCTTTGGACTCGAGGACCACTGCCTAGAGGGGTGGGCTGGGTTTGAACTTTGTCACAGTACACCCATGGGCTTGGGGGGCCCACAGGCAGAAGGACACTTCTACTGTGGGACAAGGGTCTCTCTGTCTTCCCCTCCCTCATCCTTCTCACCCCCTGCAACTTCCCCAGCCCCACACCCACCTCCTGTCTCTTCCCTCATCTCTGAGCACCCTGAAGACTACACTGCTGCAGGGAGGGGCATGGCGGGGGCATAGATGTGGGGGCTGGGGTGACCCTCACCCTCCCCTCCGCCTCTGGACACTGGAGTCTGGAGAGGTAGCCTCTGTCTGGGTCAGGCGGAGGCGGGAGTGGACTGTGTCCTCAGCCAGGGCCTCTGTGAGTGAAGGCCCAGCAGGGAGCGTGTTCTGTGTTGGTGTGGCCACCCCACCTGGCGCAGTGCCTGGGCGGGGGCCGAGGCCTGTTTAAAGGACAGGCTGAGATCATCGGGGGCACCTGTGCTCCTGGAGCACTGGGAGAGGAATTAGTCACTTCCTGTGTGCCCTGCCCCTGGGACCCACCTTGAACTCCGAGTGCCAGGCCTCCGGACCTCTGCTGGCCCCTGACCTCTGCAGCCTTCTCTGGCTGGCCCCTCTGGACCCCCGGTTCTGCAGGGAAGGCATGGTAGAGCGGAGCCCCTACCCACTGGGACACAGAGAGGGGTGGGGGCTGGGTGTGGGGTGGAGGGTGGGGCAGGTGTCTCTTGCCTCTGAGGGCCATGGAGAGCAGGGCGAGTGTGCAGATGCCTTCCAGAGGAGGCCCCATGCCCTCTGCCCCGCTCCCCGGCCCTGCCCCATTCCACCCGCCCTGAATCAGCCCCCGTGACTAATCCCAGATACTGACAGTTGGGCAGGGGTGAGGGCAATCAGGAGCAAGGTGGGCAGGGAAGGAGCCACCTCTGCCCCCAGCCCAGCCCCTGCACCTCTGGCTGTAGGGCACAAGGGTGCCTTGCCCACTCTGACGGCTGCCTCTGCTCAGCCCTCCCAGCAGGCCTGGCAGAGACAGAGAGGGTGCCCACAGGTGGCTGGCTGGATCACTAGGGGGTGGGGGGACCTTGGGAAGACCCACTCTGTCCTGTGGAGTGGGTCTGGAGCCCCTGCAGCCTCTGCTCTGTAGCTTGGGGTGGGATCTCCGGCCTCTCTCCACCTGATGCCAGCAGCAGCAGGGCAGGCCTGCCACTTAGCTTCCTGTCCAATGAAGGCCTTTGTCAGTATGGTTCCTGGACCCCTTCCAGATTCTGTTGGTTGCCTGGCCCTGGGGACCAGCCCAGAGTCTCTGCAGGGGGCTTCCTCCAGCCAGCCCAGCCTGCTGCTGTGTCCTCTGACCCAGCTCTCTGCCCACACATAGGCTGTATCTGGGAAACCCTATGGATCCTCCGGACCTGCTAAGTGTGGAGCTGAGCACCTCCCGACCCACCCAGCACCTCGGAAGGGTGAAAAGTAAGAGCTCTCGCAACTCCCTGGGGTCCCCGCTTCTTTGGCTACCCAGGAAGGGGCAGCTCTTCTCGGGCAGCAGGAGACAGCTGTGTCCCTGGCTCCTGCTCGCGTGGGGTGGAAGGAAGGCGAGCGGCAGCTGTATCCGCCGAGGTGGGCACTCTCGGCCAGGCCCGTCTCAGCCCCCCTCCCCGCCCTCCTTGCCTGTGCCATGCCCAGATCCTGGCTTTCCTCACTTCCCCCTGATCCCGCTTTCCTCGCCCGAGCCAAAGCTACCCCCGGGCCTCTTCGGGCCAGGAGCCTCATGCCATCCGGACCCTGTGCCTGCCATTCCGGAGCTCTGGCCCCATCCTGCCCGCTCGCTCTGCTGCCTCCCATTGGCTGCTGGATTTGTACATTCATCGGCCATTCACCACTCTCTCTCTGTTTGCCTTTTTCCACCTCTGTCCACCCTTGCCTCCTGTCTGTTTGTCTCTCTCCACCTCTGCCCGCCCTTGCCTCCTGTCTGCCTCTGTCTCTCTCCACCTCTGCCCGCCCTTGCCTCCTGTCTGCCTCTGTCCCCCCGTCCTCTGTCATCCTCCTCCTGTCCCCTTTGCTTGGCCCGTCTCACAGGGGAGCCTCCACCGCGCCCTCCTCAGCCCGCCATCTTCACGCAGAGTAAGTGGGGCTGTGCCGGATGCCTTGGCCCCCGACCCCTCTCTCCTCTCCTCTATCCTCTCCTCCCAGAAGGTACAGAGCCCGGCGGCCAGCTGGGCCCAGTGGGCAGTGTGTGCTCTGAGCTTTGCTGCTGACCTAGCCCAGCAGGCCTGCCTCCCCCTTCTCGGCCCCTAGACCTGGGGCTCCCGGAGCCTGCCCTGGCACCCGCTTGGCCTGCTCTCTGGCAGCGCCTGACCCTGCCACTCTGCCCCTGGGGCCTGAAGAGGCCCATTTCCCTGGACGGTGGGGGACTGCCTGTAGCCCTGTGCCAGCACTAATGGTGTGCGTGGGGCGTCACTAACCAGGGCCCAGGGAGGGGCACTTGGGGTTTGTGGTGGTGGAGGGGGGCTCAAGGCAGGCGAGGGTGAGTGTGCCTGCTCCCACGGTGGTGGCAGGAGCCCCCAGCCCAGGTCAGCGCTGACTGTACCCCAGAGGTGCGCCTGGTGAATTCATTGGTGCTGCCCTCGGAGGAGCAGGGTTGGAGAGTTGGTGGGAGGTGCCGGCTTCCTTCTCCACTCCTGCCAGCCTCCTCCCTTGCCACCACCTGACTGGCCTCCCTGCGGGGGTCTCCCTTTACATCATAGAGCCAACCTACGACCCTGTGAGCGAGGACCAAGACCCCCTGTGCAGCGACTTCAGGAGGCCAGGCCTGCGCAAACCCAGCCTGCCCCGAGGGTTGTGGCTAGGGAAGCCATCTGCCCGGGTGCCCGGCACCAAGGCCGGCCGGGGCGGCGGGGGCGAGGTCACACTAATTGACTTTGGAGAGGAGCCTGTGGCTCCGGCCCCACCGCCCTGTGCGCTCTCCTTGGCGCAGCTGGCCATGGATGCCTGCTCCCTGCTGGACAAGACCCCGCCCCAGAGCCCCACGCGGGCACTGCCCCGGCCCCTGCACCCTACGCCTGTGGTGGATTGGGACGCGCGCCCGCTGCCCCCGCCGCCCGCCTACGACGACGTGGCCCAAGACGAAGATGACTTTGAGGTCTGGTCCATCAACAGCACTCTGGTGGGCACAGGGGTCTCCGCTGGGCCCAGCCAGGGCGAGACCAATTACGCCTTCATACCTGAGCAGGCGGGCCGACCCCCACCCCTGGAGGACAACCTGTTCCTCCCACCGCAGGGTGGGGGCAAGCCTCCCAGCTCGGCCCAGACAGCAGAGATCTTCCAGGCCCTGCAGCAGGAGTGCCTACGGCAGCTGCAGGTGCCCCCCGGCTCGTTGGCCCCCTCACCCAGCCCACCAGGCGACGACAAACCCCAGGTGCCTCCCCGCGTGCCCATACCCCCACGGCCCACCCGCGCACGAGGGGAGCTGTCTCCGGCGCCCTCTGTGGAGGAGGAGATGGGGCGGTGGCCTGAGCCTGCTTCTCCTCCCCGGGTACCCCCTCGGGAGCCCCTGTCCCCACAAGGCTCCAGGACCCCTAGCCCCCTGGTACCACCTGGCAGCTCCCCGCTGCCATTCCGCCTCTCAAGCTCACCTGGGAAGACCATGCCAACGACTCAGAGCTTTGCCTCCGACCCCAAGTACGCCACACCCCAGGTGATACAGGCCCCTGGCCCTCGGGCTGGCCCCTGCATCCTGCCCATCGTCCGAGATGGCAAAAAGATCAGCAACACCCACTACTACCTGCTGCCCGAGCGCCCGCCCTACCTGGAGCGGTACCAGCGCTACCTGCGGGAGGCCCAGAGTCCCGAAGAGCCGCCCCCGCTGCCTGTGCCTCTGCTGCTGCCCCCGCCCAGCACCCCGGCGCCCGCTGCCCCGACTGCCACTGTTCGACCTATGCCTCAGGCCGCTCCAGACCCCAAAGCCAACTTCTCCGCCAACAACAGCAACCCAGGGGCTGGCCTGCCAGCCCTGAGGGCTGTTGCCCGGCTGCCACAGAGGGGCTGTCCTGGGGACGGGCCAGAGGCTGGACAGCCTGCAGACAAGATCCAGATGGTGAGCCCCAGGCCTGACTGCATGCAGGGTGGACAAGGCTGCGGGGGGTGGTGGTGGTGGGGGGGGACCAGAAGGGCCCACATGGTGCTGATGGGGTGGGTGTGCCCAGCTGCAGGCCATGGTGCATGGGGTCACTACTGAGGAGTGCCAGACTGCCCTACAGAGCCACGGCTGGAGTGTGCAGAGTGCCGCCCAGTATCTGAAGGTACCACCACCACCTCCTGCCTGCTCTGGCATTTAGGGACCCTGAAGGCTGGTTCTGCCACCCCCATCCCTGTCCCCTGGCCCTGCCTGCACCCAGTGTGCCCCACGGTACCGCCCTTTGCCCTGCAGGTGGAGCAGCTCTTTGGGCTGGGTCTGCGGCCGAGGGGTGAGTGCCACAAAGTGCTGGAGATGTTCGACTGGAACCTGGAACAAGCGGGCTGCCACCTCGTAGCCTCCTGTGGCCCCACCCACCACAAGTGAGCAAGCCCACCCTGTCCCTCTGCCCTACCAGGAGGCTGCACACGGCACCCCAGCTGGTTGGGGGGAGGGCACCCATCTCGAGGAGCCAGCAGGTTT